AGGAATCTAGATGCAAATCCATGTTAAGTACGTTTGTTTAAGCAACAACATAAAAGGGCACTGGATTGATAACTAAAACAATATGATGATTGGAAAAAAAAAAAAAACGTGGCCAACAACATTTTTATTTCACCAGTTCACCTACCCAATCGCCCCCTTTTTAACGGTCACATGTTCCTCCTTCCTTAATTAACTACCCAACATTTCCGATTCCGACACAACAATTAGATTTGTGTTTTTTTGTTTTTCATTTACCGCTTCTTGGTCGTCGATTTCTCTTCTGATTTCATTATGATTGCCACCGGAGTTAAATCGATGCTAGGGCTTTCGATTGCATCGTCTCCCAAAGGGATTCCTGACGGCAATTCGTTGAGTAATCGGAGATCTGTTGGTGTTTTTCGCGCCTGTGTTTCCATGGATGGATCGCAGACGCTAAGCCATAACAAAAATGGGTCTATTCCTGAGATTAAATCGATTAATGGCCACACAGGTACACAGATTTGTTTCTCATAGATGTTGATTTGACACCCAGAAAATTCGAATCTTTCAATTTTATAGCTCTGAATTGTGAATCCATTTCTAATCTGGGCAGATTTGATTATTTTTTCATCTTTGTAGTTTTTAATTTCTTGTCTTTGTTTTGGATTAGGGCAAAAACAAGGTCCATTGTCTACTGTCGGAAACTCGACGAATATAAAGTGGCATGAGTGCCCTGTTGAGAAGGTTGATCGACAGAGATTGCTTGACCAGAAAGGATGTGTGATTTGGGTCACTGGTCTTAGTGGTTCAGGTTCGTGTAGCAATCAATCATTAGAATTTAGAAACGTCATGTGTTTGGTCTAACATTATTGTTGGTTCTAGGGAAGAGCACTTTGGCTTGTGCTTTGAACCAAATGTTGTACCAAAAGGGGAAGCTTTGTTATATTCTTGATGGTGATAATGTAAGGCATGGCTTAAACCGTGATCTGAGCTTTAAAGCAGAGGATCGTGCAGAGAACATTCGTAGAGTCGGTGAGCTTAACCAACAAGATATATATCATCTTAATCAATGTTTCATCTTCCCTGTTGTTACCTGAATGTTTATTTTTGACATTCTGTTCTTTGTTTAGGAGAGGTTGCCAAGCTTTTTGCGGATGCTGGAATCATCTGCATTGCAAGTTTAATATCGCCATACCGAAGAGACAGGGACACTTGTCGAACTTTGCTCCCTGAGGGGGATTTTATTGAGGTATTTGAGAACGGCGAGTTTCGTAGTCTCTATGCCATTGAAAGTTTCAAGCTTTGAGTAAAACTGGTGTTGATCAAATAGGTTTTCATGGATGTACCGCTTGAAGTTTGTGAGGCGAGAGATCCTAAAGGTCTGTACAAACTTGCTCGTGCAGGAAAGATCAAAGGTATATATATCTTTTGAATTGGGATTGTTTTTTTTTTTTGTGACTTGGTTTTTTCTCTTAATGAGATCCCAAATTGATATTATTGTTTGAAATGTTTTCTACAGGTTTTACCGGGATCGATGACCCTTACGAGGCACCGTTGAATTGCGAGGTAAATGTTAAATAACATTGGTAGGGGCTTAAAAAAGGCCTAGTTAATATTTTGACATTTTATAACATTTTGTAAAGAGAATGGGATATGTTAGTTTAGAAAAGAACACCAGTTTGATTCTTGATCTAGATCCTGAGCTTTTTCGCGTCAATCTCTTATCTTACCTACGTTCTCGTGTTCTGCCATGTGAAGATTGCTCTAGGACACGAAGGATCAGGAACTTCTCCAACCGAAATGGCTGAAAAAGTCGTTGGATACTTAGAACACAAGGGTTATCTTCAGGCATAAAACATAATTTAGATTATGGGTTATCTTCATGCGCACACATTTGTTATTCGCGTTCTTGGTTCTATTTAACAAGAGTACAAAATTAAGCAAATCCTTGGCTCCTTTTATGGAATAATGAGTTCAAAATATATATATAATAACCTCATAATTTTCCTTCTTTTTTTTTTGTATTTTAAATTTCATGTTATCCCTAAGTATATAAAATAAGTGAAGATTAAATGTCATTGCTCTCATTATTTTTCTTCTTTATTTTGGAAATTTAAATTACATGTTATTTAATTTCACCGAAGACCAACATGCTGAGTTCAAGCAGACTCTTGAGACGTTTACTATTGGTTTACATGACGCTTTACAATACGCGGTGAAGAATATGTGTTATAAAATCAGCATGACGGGGTTCGAGAATGCAAACAACCATCAAGCGAATCTGATCAAGAAGATACTGCTGTCTTTGGTAACGTCTTTGCAACTTCTGACCGTGACCAACACCTTCGCCAAGGACACGATGATCGGCATGCTGACAACATGAACCCTCACCCTACGTGCTGGGAATAGGGGTTTAAGTTGGATATCCCGAAGTTTTTTGGCACTCTTAACTTCGAAGAGTTCATTAATTTGTTAAAACAT